TATCGTCTTGTGATTTTTTCGACTGCGATTACACGGCGACAATCCTATTTGCGCTCCCGTGGCGTTTCTACAGCGGGGCGGGGGGGTTAGGTTGTCAGCCAGCTCACAAAATAAGAGCAATGGGATCAGAATTCCAACGTATTTGATTCACAACATTTTTTTCAAAGGCAAATTATTTTCAATTTTTTTTTGTTCAATTTTTCTACATAAAATTGAAAAAAAAAAATTGAGTTTAATCATTTTTATAATATACAAATTATGTATTAACATTTTTAATTATTTTTTTATTGGCATATATCTGTGATTTTTTAAACAAAAATGTTTTACATTCTATATATATCACTAAAAAGTGTGGTATTGGAACGCAGCAGCGCAGTGAGAACGCCGTGAACACGAGGTGAAAACTCCTAACGCGCCCCCGGAAGCATCAATCGCCGAGAGATCTCCGTGGGAACGCAGTAGAACGCCGTGAGATCGCCGTAGAATCGCGCCGTCGCCGTAGGAACGCCGTGACATCTGTGACTACGCCTATGCCACTTCTTATCTAAATGTTTCTATGCTGTACATGTATACACGTAACCCTGTCGTTGTAACCTGAACCGTTCTTTAAAGTTTAAAAAATATAATAAAAGTTCGAAAATATTTCACACCTGTTTCCTTTTATTCAAAGGAAACAACATTTTTTATTTAGAGTTCTAAATCTGGAAATTGAAAACATTAAAAAGAGTAATTAACATGTACATCCGAGCTTAACGCTGTTATTTTATTTCGATATATTCACATAAATCGGTTTTAAAATGATAAAATGGAAAATAAATCTGGCTCAAAATGGTCTTCATTTAAACATCCAAACGCCAACTAGTGATTTAAAGTCTTTCAAAGTCACTCAGACAGAAAAGTTGACACTACTATGAGGATACTTGTGTACACATGCCGGTATGAGGGATACACGAATACGAACTTTTACCGAATTTCAGTGAACTTGGGAGTTGATATGTTAGAGACAATGTCATATTGTGATTGACAATTTACCATATATTACTCAGACCGATCAGGATCTTGTGGATCCGGAATAATTTTGCCAAGAAGAAGCATGTCTGTAAGTTACAACTTTGAATAAACGTGGCATATGCTGTCATTACGTTCTATTTATAAATTAAATGATGCTAATATGATTCAATCAAGTAAATTTAAAACAAGTAAGGATTAATTTTGATTTGAAAAGAAATGCAGGGTTTTCCTCCAGATTCCAGTACTCATGATGTTCATGCTATTGCTATATACAATGTACCCCCTAAACGGGTATTTCTTAATACTGTCTCAGAATGGTGTATTAGCTGACAGGTGAATAAGGGTTGATATTATTATTTTCCTACCTTTAGAGATATTAAGAAGGTACATCTAGAACATATATCACCTTACTTTATAAAAGACTGTTTCCACACAGATGACAACAAATTCTATTTATTTCTACTAGCATTTACATGTAATTACAATCAAATACAAATTGTAAAATTTCTCTCTCTCTCTCTCTCTCTCTCTCTCTCTCTCTTTCTCAAATGTGAGCTGTTCAGCAACCATAGGCACTTTTTTTATCAACAAAGAAAAAAGTTTAAAACGCCAACCGCCTGCGTCCGCAACTTTGCTAACATTTCGAAAACTAGAATTAATAATGTTGTTAATTTATTGTTGTTAATTTGTTTTTAATTTGTTGTTAATTTGTTGATCCCCAGCCTCCTTAAATAAATAATAAAATAAATTAAACAAAGGATTCGAGTACCACAGGAACTGAAACATTGTTTTTTTTTTGGTTTTTTTTTAGAAAAGCGTGGGCGAACAGGAACTTAGTTTAGAAAAGGTGTTAATTAAAATATTTGTTTATAAATCACTGTGTTTGTGAAAATCAGAACATTTCGATGTACTGTGTTAAGTGGCAGTTTCTCAGAAATCATTCAAAAGAGTCATTCTAGCTGACATGGAACAAAATCGCATGAAAAGTTTTCAGGTCAGTAAGTGACCACCTATGTAATACATGTTCATGTATTTAAATTTCTTATATTTCAAAAGTTGGCAAATTTAAACAAAATACAAAAATGATCAAATTCTAAAAGTAATATGTATGACATTTTTCTTTGTCAAATGAAAGTTATCATATCTAAAAATTAAAGTAATATCTGGTGGTTAATTTGTTGTTAATTTGTTGTTAATTTGTTGACCTTAAATTTGTTTAAATTGTTTAAATTTCTTTGTTCAAATCGTGTTCACAGAAAATACCGTATGTTTGTAATTATGTAACAAAAAGGGGCAAATCTATACATAAGAAACACATTTTTTATGCGCCCGGATCGATAGATCCCGGGCGTATATTGTTTTTGTTTTGTCTGTTTGTCTTTCTGTCTGTTGTCAACTTTAACCTTCGCCATAACTTTTGAACAATAAGAGATAGGAACTTCATATTTGGTATGCATGCACCACTAATGAAGTCCTGTCAAATGACATCAAGGTCAATGACGTTGTGACCTTGACTGTGACCTATATGCTAAAAATAGCTTTTTCCACTGTTAGTCATAACTTTTTAACCATAGGAGATAGGGACTTCATATTTGGTATGCATACTCCACTAATAAAGTCTTTCAAATCTTTCCTGACAAGGTCAATGATCTTGTGACCTTGACTTTGACCTATATATTCTAAAAATAGCTTTTTCCACTGTTTGTCATAACTTTTTAACCATAGGAGATAGGGACTTCATATTTGGTATGCATACTCCACTAATAAAGTCCTTTCAAAGTGGTTCTGACAAGGTCAATGATCTTGTGACCTTGATATGACCTATATGCTAAAAATAGCTTTTTCCACTGTTTGTCATAACTTTTTAACCATAGGAGATAGGGACTTCATATTTGTATGCATACTCCACTAATAAAGTCCTTTCAAAGTGGTTCTGACAAGGTCAATGATTTTGTGACCTTGACTGTGACCTATATGCTAAAATAGCTTTTTCCACTGTTTGTCATAACTTTTGAACCATAGAAGATAGGGACTTCATATTTCATATGCATACTCCACTAATAAAGTTCTTTCAAAATGCCATTACAAGGTCAATGATCTTGTGACCTTGACTGTGACCTATATGCTAAAAATAGCTTTTTCCACTGTTTGTCATAACTTTTTAACCATAGGAGATAGGGACTTCATATTTGTATGCATACTCCACTAATAAAGTCCTTTCAAACGACGACAAGGTCAATGATCTTGTGACCTTGACTGTGACCTATATGCTAAAATAGCTTTTTCCACTGTTTGTCATAACTTTTTAACCATAAAGATAGGGACTTCATATTTTCAAGGATATAAGCTTAATTCACTAATAAAGTCCTTTCAGTAATAAATCTATGGACAAGGTCAAAAATCTTGTGACCTTGACTGTGACCTATATGCTAAAAATAGCTTTTTACACTTTTTGCCATAACTTTTAAAAAGATAGTTTCTAGACATTTGACTTTCATATTAATGGTAAACATCTTCATACTTTCCACATGAACAAAGATTAAGTTCTTTATATATACCATGGTCAATGACCTTGTGACCTTGACTGTGACCAATATGCTAAAAAATAAAGTATTTTTGTACTTTGTTGCAAAAAGCCGGGCGCAAAATTTTCACAAACACATTTTGTTTTTCTTAAAAATAGCAAGATAAAAGAGTCAAAATAAATCAAACATCCTTATCTAGATTATCTACGTTCAAAACCTGGGGCTAGAATGGTACAGAGATATAGGGAGTCAAGCTCTTATATATACATGTATGAAAGTATGTATAAAAGTATTTTTATTCTTTAGAATTCTTTTACGAACAGCAAGCTTAAGACGTCATTGATTCTGATAAATATGGAACCATAAAGTTTTTCCAGGATGGGTTGAGAGATTAAGCTTGGTTTCATGAGTGTCTTGATAGTGAGTCGAAGTATATGAAAGTCATACAACGATTAAACCTCAAGCTTTCCCATGATGCAAATTTAAAAGTGTGAATTTAAAATTTCCCTGAAAAAAGCGGAACATTAAAGTCAGGTCATTTTTGTTCCTCTTGTCACTCATAGCACCAGAAAAAAGAGCAGCAATTGTAGTGTAACTTCATACTGTCATAAAACTATGGTCGCTACGTTGTTCACACAGAGGGAAGTCAGTTGAGCTTTTGAGTAGTTAGTACTTTCGTACATGAAATAAATTTCAACTTAATTACAAAATGTTTTTTTCAAAATATTCAATGCTACAAGCTTCTGGGACAGTGTAAAATATTACCACTACTGCCCCTTCTCATCAAGCGTGTAATCCTGAAGAATCTCCTGCAAAAAATATTTTATTTGAGTAAAATACCAAGAATTTTGAAAAATGGATTAATTAAAGTGCTTCTTTACAAAAATTGGAGTTTATGTTCTCACTAGAATTATACATCGCAAACCTCAACGAATTCGAATTCGACCGCTGAATCATCATTACCCTACAATCGCATCATCTCGGGTCTTTCCGTCAAAGGTCGGAAAAACAACCCTAGTCGGAAAGGCCCAAGAAGTTGCGATTGCTTCACTCTACTCACTCAGTACAGTAAAAGTCGCGCGTCACAACACTCTTGTCGTAAAGTTTTGTTTCTTTGCCAGACAAACTCTAAGTTTACCTTCTTCATGCCTCTTTTCTCTCTTGCTCGTCAACATTTGTCTCGTAATTGCGCTATAGGCATCACAGACGATATAAAACATGACTGCCAAATTTTTCACACCGAAAGTCAAAGTCTCCAAAATGTTTGAATTTTTAGGATCTTGTCATACTTTGTAGCACCTATATGGATCTTTTATTATGGTGTTTTTCATTCAGATAATGGATTTTAATTTGATCACAACTTCTACACCGTTTCCTTGCAGCAAGGTAGGAGCTTGATTTTACTTTTAAAAAGCGTTGTGTTTTTCTGCTTTTTGGTCGTTTTTGTCGACCTTCACCACAAAGGTACGTCTTAGTAGGGTACATGTAACTATCACCACTGGCACTAGCTGCTTACTGCATCGAAAGATTACGATCAAAGGAACTCATCAGACAAGAGTCTTGCGTAACGTCTGTTCCTAAAACAATACCTCCGTGATGTATGAATATGAAGTGTCTAAACGCTTGTTTGCTTTGGCCCCATATTTTATTATTTTTTTATGCTGCTGAAATAAGCACCGGCATCCCGCCTTTGCGTTAATGAAAGGTCTCCCCTGCATTATTTTCCCATTCGTAGGTCGAAGGACTTGGTATGTATAAGTGATGGGGTTGGAGTGGATCAATATTTAGATACAGTAAGATATCTGCTTTTTTTAATTCAAATGATTTTGATTTATCTTGAAGTTGCTTTTCTGGAATTTTCCTGATTTTACATGCATTTGTCATTGGTTGTCAAAGAAAACAACGGGAAATCAAAATCGAAATAAACCTGTTTGTCAAAAGAACTTTTCTTTACAATTCTTTTTTTTTTTCTGCAAATCAGTTTTTCTTGATTTTTAAAAACACCTCTATTCGACATAATCTAGTTTATCTAAATTCAATTTTCTTGAGTTAATTTCCCTAATACAAAACAATCTAAAACAAAAGAATTAATGATAAATTGTAAAACTTCCGTGCAACGAGGCAGCCAATCTGAGTTACCAATAATTTTCTCTATAGAGGTTCCTTCGTATGTTATATACATAGATCAGATATTATTTTACAGTGCTCATTATATAGTATTATGCAGCATGTATAGAGATCATTTATGCTTTCTACATAAGGAAAAATGACGGGTCTTTAAAATGAGCGTGACTTACTTAAGACTTACGTGTAAATACATTTTCTCCCTAAACTAAACATTTGATCTAAACTGGTGATAATGCTTTAAAGCAAAATTAATTGTTTATTGAACCTTTAAATGTATCTCACATATTTGTACAGTTGTATTTTGGTTTCAGCTTATTCTAGAAACGTACTTCAATGCCGCAAATCCCTGAATACCTATTTAAACTTTTTACAAAGAAATATGCTATTTAATGTGTTGGTAGTATTAAACTAGAGCTCGATGAAATCTAGATATATATGTATTAATGATTCTTGCAATTTTTTTCATATGACGATACACATTGCTTTTAAGAGCATCCCAAGTATTTAATATTTAAAAATAATACCACCCGAGTGCTTTATATTTGTCAGTTATGGTCCCTGGGGATGCGTTAAGATAATTGATAATTCACATCTGATATAAATTTATGGTAATCATCATATCCTTAGCGCAAAGGAAAATGTACACATATGTTTACTATATGTAATTGAAACATTAAGCAACCGGCATCGAGAACAGGTTCAAACTTACCAACACCTTACCAGCATTTATTACAACTCGTAGTATAGTTTACGATTGTTCGTCAAAATTAATGCTTAACTGATCAATTGTGGAATTACTTAAGGAAATTTTAACTTTATAAAATAAATTTGTTAAAGCATGTATAAGAATTTAAAATAGATATAGGTGGTTTACAAAGACAACTAAACTCTTCTTTATGGAAGATGCACGAAGACGCGATGAAAGTCTGTCACCCTATATTAAAGCCATTCTTGTTTTCGCTAATCGCGGCGAGGAATACTTCGCTAAGGTCAATCGTATAGATAGATATGCCAGAATACATTCTTTCTATGATGCAAGATCGCTGAGAAACAATAATGTGCATACGCTTTACGTGTAGATGTAGTTAGATTACTTGAATGTTTGACAGTTTGCCGTTGTCGTATAAGCTCCAAGAGAACGCGAAGATGTCAAGGCCCTGCTGTGTGGTTTCAACAGGATCGTAAATTATTTGTCTGAGGGCACTTGCTTCATCCATTGAGTTCTTACATGTGCATGTGTACCAAGTATCCTTCATTATCTTTTGTTGCGGAAAATCATGATCATGATCAGTTGAGAGAAAAAAAAAATTCTCGTAGACTTGCAAGCTGATAAACAAACGGTTATATAAATATAGTTTCTTATAGAAACAACCTGCATTTCTTTTACAGGATCTAAAAATACGGATTGATTTTAATAAATTGCTTGTTCTAAGACATAAGGATTGAGTCTTAAAATAATACATGTAACATACTTGTAAACTATATAAGTATGAACTTAAAAAATTTGATCTCTTTTTCATTATGTGACTAAATTTAGCATTTCTATCTTGGCGACGAAAGCATTTTTTGTATTAAGGTAGAATTTGCATTTAAGTATTTAGACTTAGAGCCCCCTCCTTTTTGCTAAGTCTATATATATATATATATATATATATATATATATATATATATATATATATATATATATATATATATATATATATATATATATTTGTTTATATTGATCACGAAGCATGTACTTTTACTGAAAAAGTACAAATACACCTTGGATCCAATCCGAACAAAACTTAAGCTGATTAACTAATTGCTTTTCAGACAAAACAGTCTTAGTCAATTATACATGAATATAGATTATGTTTATTATCCTTTAAAAACAATATCAAATACATGTACTGTACATTGTATCTGTACCTACTACTGTAAACCAGTCATTTGGAGAATAATTAAACTGGATTTCAAAAATAAAGTATACACTTCTAATTTTCGAATAATTTTCAACATTTTCCCCCAAGTCAAGCTTCTTAACTTGATAACTACTTGAACCAATAAGAAATGCATATAAGTGCGTAATCAATTCAAAAGCTCATTTTAATAATAGACAGAATTAAATACTTAATACAACTTATTAATTAACAAAGGAAAGGTGGAATTTACGAACGAATATAGATTTAGAACTTATAAGGACATTGTCAGGAATGGAAGAATTACATGTGAGTATACGTGATTATATCTAAAACCAATGTTTAAATTTTGAAACAAATGGTTTTAACCATCAAAAAATTATTTACATCCACTGAGTATTATATCCTTTATATTATGAAAAGGTCGTCTATCATTTACTAAACAATGTTAAGCATGCCACGCCAAGGGAACGTCTCTTCCATCAATGAAACATTATACATATATTGCCCGAGTTTGAAGGAAACATGCGTTTTGTCGGAACCAAGAACCAAACTGTCTTTCTGAGTCCGTAAGACTGAAGGCAGACAATTTGGTTCGAGGGTCGATTTTGTACGAGAACTCTGTCAATAAATGTTTTGCTATACCTTTAAAAGTTTGTTCCTATACAAATCTATACGAAAAAAAATTAACATTTCTAATGTTTTGCAGAGCGGGCATGAAAAAAATCGATGTTGGATCGCTGAGTGAGATGTTGGACCGGTCGATGAGATGCTGGACCGCTTATCACAAAATGGGCGGAGCTTAATCTCATTTTCATTCGTTGGTGTTCAAAAGTGACGGACCTGATGTTACATCACGGAAGACAGTACAAAATACATGTATGTCAAAAAAAAGAAAGGTATAACAAAACATTTATTGACTATGTTCTCTGGCAAAATGCGTTTTGTCGACCCGCGAACCAAACTGTCTGCTTTCGGCCTAATGGCCTCAGGCAGACAATTTGATTCTTAGGTCGGACAAAACGAAAACAATAAATGTATATTAAACCTTTCAATTTTATATTTCTTTTTTACATACATTTATCTTGTACTGTCTGCCGTGATTTAATCTAATGTTGAACACCAACAAATGCAAATGAGATTAAGCTCCGCCCATTCTGTGACGTAAGCAGTCCAATATCTCATCAACAGAAAAATCAAAATAACTCGCTTTCACTGGTCATGTATTTTTCTGTAACAGCTGAATTAATAATTCCCCAACTAACAACAGAAGAAGACATGTTAGTATTTGAAAATATTTGTATATAAAAAAACAAAACATAAATGCCCCGATATTTTAAAATTAAATTCTCTAATAATAACATTCTTGTAAGCAATACGACTTAAAATTGATATAAAGCTTATTAACAAAAATGATTAATAAATATAAATGATATGAATAACAAATACATAGTTATTGTAATTAACACTTATTTGCCAATTGAAAACAGATGTAAATAAGGAAGCCAAAACATGCAATACGTCAGAAAAATGCAAGCCTTCACGCGAGTTTCTGTAACACGTTATTTTCATAAAACACAGGGGAAACATACGGTTGTGATTACCGCGATATATAATGAAGAACAATAATAAGTTAAATATGCTTTTAAAAAAACAAAAAGCGTAGGAAAATTTAGTACATTACAAGTTATTGATTAAAAATTATTAATGATTGAACACAACATCAAGAATATTATAACAGTTCTTTTAATATATACTATTTGGTTTGTAATTATAGCAGACCAAAGGACCATTGTGGCTCATTGATACACGATATATACTGAGTACATTTACAAGATACATTTGTATTATATTATACAGGCAAATGACAGCTGATTCAAAGATACTACAGAATGGAAACATGTGATTATAGGAAAATCGTGACAGAAGTAAATTGAAGAAACCATAAAACTATATGTCATATCAAAATCCGTTTTTCTCTCTGTTTTTTAGCTTTTAAAAGATATCAATATTACTTCTGGAATTTTTCTTCTTTTTTTTTGGTGAGGAATTTTAATGTGATTGGATTGTCTAATGGGTTCTATTTTTTGTGCATTTTAATATCGTTGATTTTTTTAGATTGAAAATTTTTGTTGTAGATTTATATTCCGAAGTTTCGTCTTGTGGTCAATATCAATATTTTCCTAGTCAATATCAAATCATACTGCCCTCAAAAGTCCATGATGCAAAGTACTTACTGCCTTATTTACTCGTTATTTTCCCGATAGGTATGCCTAGGTAATATTTACAAAAGAAACAACAGAGAAACGAACACCGGCTTCCTGGTTGGTCATCATCTATCAATTAGCAACAATAAAAATATATCGTCTGGTAATTATCTACCTTCCCACGAGTCTATATAACCTGTCTTCTGCCATTAACTTCTGTTTCTATTTACTATTGTATTCTTTAGCAACATACATGCACTCTTTGGACGTTTTGTTCCTTCGCGTGTAAAATGCCAGGCGAATTTTTGGTTTATCCACTTCTCTAGTTCTCTATTTACAACTACCCGCTTAATACATTTATATTTTGCAGGCTTAAATACAGTTTTATGCCCCCTAAACGAAGTTTCGAGGGTATAAAGTTTTTGCCCTGTCCGTACGTCTTTCTGTCTGTTTGACTGAAAAAAACTTTAACCTTGCCTATAATTTTTGAATGGGTGGGGCTATGGCTTTCATATTTCCCAAGATCTTTCTCTGGATACCTTAATTTTACCCCTTGACTTTGGCCTTTGGGTTTGACCTACTTTTACAAAAAAATCCACACTTTAACGATGGCCATAACTTTTGAAAAGTTGGAGCTAGGGCTTAGACCTTTTAGTTAGTATAAATATTTTTGACCTTTTCAACTTCACAGAGTTTGACCCACTTTCTGAAAACTTTAACATTGGCCATCACTTTTGAACAGTTAGAACTAGGGCTTTCATTTTTCACAGATGTATTTCTTGTAACAAGACCTTCCCTTGAGTACCAACAGTTTTGACCTTTTGACCTCGACCTTTGGAGTTTGACGTGCATTTGAGAAAATTCAACCCTCGCCATACTGGGGCATCAATGTTTCAAACACATTTTTTTTTTCATTTCCTCCTCTTCTAATTTTTTTATTCAACATGTAAATATGTATTTATAAATGAAGAAAATGTAAACTCTTTAAAGATATTTTATTATGTGAATGGTATATATATAAACTCCAAATACTAGTAATCTAATTTAAGTGCTCCTACATTAATCATTTATTCTTTTGCAAAATTGCTCGATCTCCCACTCTGAATCTTCGATAACCCTCCGAGACTTTAAACAACCTATAGCAATGATTGCAACACGAAAGTGTAAAATGAATTAACGGCGATAATAAAACCCAGAGATATAATATTACCATGAGGAAAACAGGTACATTAATGAGTGCTTATTTGGCTAAGAAATTCAGAGCAAATATATTGAGCTATTTGGGGGAAAGGGGTCAGTAGTCGCGTTCAGCACTGGCCAGTGAAACCAAAACACTTATTTTCTTGGCCTGATGTTTTCCCTCGCGTCAATACCGTACATCTAGGAGGTTGTAGAAACAATGTAGACACCCATCGACCAGTGTGATGGCTTAAGTCTTTATACACCTGAAAACGTTGATTTTCTTCTACCTATAACAGAGAAGTTCTTTCAAGATTGACAGTTTTAACAATGTGTTAATTTAATCCAATCTGCATTGCTGAAGACAATTTAAGGATTTTTATAGTTTTCTTAAAACAGGATGCGTGTGTCTTGGACGAAAGCTCTTCGTGCAGTTATGAAATGGAACTGTAGGCGCACAAGTTATTCCATCACACCGTTTCTTCTGTGGAAATAAGGATTTTTAATACCTTTCATTCCTTAGCTTGCATTGATATTCAAAATGTAAACATTATTGGTAGGTTTGGTATACAGTAAACAGTTTTGATGATGAATTATTGTATTTCTGCCTTTCCTCCCCAGACTAGGCGGACGTCCATTCCTCTCTCCAGGGGTTCCACGAAACGGAGAAAGCAATGTGACAACCATGGTCGCTATAAATCCACCCGGCTCATGACACCGCAATCAGATGAAAGTGAAGACGAAACCAATAATTGCGTCAACTGTGATGCGCAAAGGTCTACAAATAACAAACACGGCCGTCAGGTAGAAAACACAAACAGTAAGAGTTCAGATGGCAATATGGCGTTCCCTGCCCTCTCCGTGATGGGTGGCGGGGGGCAGATTGTCCGATCCCGAAGTAAAGTCAGCATCAACGAACCCGATGAAGAACAACGAAGCCCGTACCGACACAGCATCCACATAAAAAACAAGGAAACGGTCATTCTCAATGTGGGTGGACAAATTTTCGAAACATATAAACACACACTTACCAGATTAAAATCGTGTAAACTCGCCAGTGAATCAGAACTTCGAAGATATTATCGTGAAAGCAAGGACGATTATTTTTTCGACAGGGATCCGCAGTTATTCAGTGTAGTGTTGAATTATCTTCGGACAAACGAACTTCATCTACCCACGTACCTCTGTGGGCCAGCGGTCCAGAGAGAATTCGACTACTGGGGGATCGAGGAAGAGGACATAGAACGCTGCTGTTGGCAGCCTTACAACACGTGGAAAACCCAGAACAAATCTCTGGAGAAGTTGGAGTATGATCGAAAAAGATCCATGACCCAACAGCACCTGGAGAAGGATAGAAACAGCCCCCATTTCTGGACCCGATGTAAAGCTATAGTGTGGAACTTCCTCCAAAACCCAAATACCTCACTAGGTGCTAAGGTATGATACAATGTATAGTTTATTCCTTTGTACATTAAGTCAATATATGATATTTTTGCATTACTGTAGTACTGGGTAAGTATTTTTAATGTTTAAAAGTTAGGAAATAACACTTGCCCCCCACATTTCCAACCCTTCCTGTTAGTTCTGCAGCCTGGGAATATATGTACTTCACTACTTCACTTGATGCTGAGAGAGTAAAATGCAACATTAAGCTAAAAGTACAGTTTAAGAGTTTTATATATACATGTATCCCTTTTCAATTTTTGGAGATTTTTTTAAAAAAAAGTTTTGGAAAAATTACTTCATAACTGCGCCCTTGATAAAAATGAAGAATATAGATTGTTTTTATTCAAGAGTTTCTTTCTGTTACTTGCCAAATTTATAGTCTAGTCCGAGTAAGTAATTAAACTTTGATTAAAATATCTAACAGTATATAAATGTAAGTCAAAATTCTTCATTAAAATTCTTGATTTTCGAGCAATTGTTTACATACTACTCAATAAAAAAAATAACAAAACAAAAACATCAACAACAACAATAATAGCAGCTAGGGAAAATTCCAATTTACCCCACTGGTCAATTGTTATTCTTTTGATTACATATGCATCGGTATTGTATACATGTATAATGTCTATTTACATACTACTCAATGAAAAAACAACAGCAACAACAACAACAACGAAAAAAGTAGCAGCAAGGTGACATTTCAGTTTACCTATTAATCAATTAGAAGAAAAGTTTGGGACTTTCATGCACTTGGAAATTTTACACTCCACTCGCTCGTAAAAGACTGGAATTTTTTTATGTTACTTGTAGAAATATCTTGGCGTGTGATGGTCCTAGTTTACTATGCATAATCAAAAACAGGGTGGGGTGGGGTGTTAGAACTCTGCGAAATGATACCTAACGTGTTTGATGCATTATATACAGTTTTTACATTAAAAGTATTGGAATCCTTTTAATAATTCATTCTTTGTTTCCAGACGTAAAAATATAGAAATTGTAAATTCTCTAAGTAAAAAAAATCTCATAAATCGTTTTAAGAATTATCAGAAGCAAGTTCAAAAATAGCTTCAAATTTAATATCTTCGTGAAAATGTCGTTACCTTGTAGATAAATTGAGCGAATATTGAATTTATTTGGTGCCAAGGTCATACTGTACATGTTATATAACTTAATAAGATTTCTCTCTCTTATTTCATTTTGCACTTGATATGTTAAATTCACACGTCAAGTTAATGAAAATCAGAGGAAGAAATAAGCAACGGAATGACATATAAATGCACATGTACAAAAATATTAAATACATTTGGCCGAAATTATGATCGATGTGTCCATCAAAAAATGACATTGATCAGGTGATAATGGCTCAGGTTTTACATAAATATATTGTTAAGGCATTGATTTTCTGGTGAAGTGAGAAAAAAAATACCTATATGAAAATGAAATTTTCCAGGAATGTACACACTAATTAGCAGTGGTCGTTATATAAATATAGATATTGCTGGAACAACTGATATTTTGTTCGTGTTATTGTATCAATAAGCTTAATGTAAATCAAGGACTAATTATAGACTGTTAAGCTTCGTTTTGCTGTATATCTTGGTTATTTTTTGCGGAAGGACAAAACTGTATAGAATAGGCACCTTTGGAAATTATTTGAATAGCATCAACCAGTATATAGAAGTGAAAAAAGCGCGAAAATAACAAGAAACGAAACCAGATCTGCAAACATACAGTGTGAGTTAAAAATGAATCTGCCCCTCAAACTTGATGATCTTCTAGGTAGGACAAAGATATGGCTTCTATATCAAGTACAGGTCAAGCGTACCTTGAGTCAAAAATTCAAAGTGCATCACAAGAATTCAGTACATGTAGCACTGCAGCGAACCATTTTAACAGCCTCGGGTGTCCTGAGTCAACGATGGACCTATGACAAATTTCATTCGTTATTCTACGGGCTTGGCTCTCTCATTCAGAAGCACCAATGAGACTTGAGCTTTCTGGAGTAGATGGAAAACGTAAACAAGATGTACGCAACTGACACCTCAGGCACGTGTTACAGGTTTTTCGTCACTGAATGATTTAATATGACCTGTCGAATGATGAGAGAAAAAAAACAAGATTTTTTAGGTTGGGCAAAAATAACAAATATTCTGGTATGTTGCTATTAAAAAAATCATATTTAACAATACGGTTTGAAGTACCAATACATTGACATAAGCTTGGACTCAGGATTTCTATAGTAAAAATATAAAGTTTGATATTACAAGTGTGTTTCTGATCCTATCAAACAGTATAAAACAAAAGCTGCTGTTTGGGTGCATTTGGTGCATAACTATAATCGAATTAATAGGAACTTTTTATTCAAGTTATTTATCATGTATTTTCTGCATTTACGTCAGGCATTGATTAATTATTAAATGTTGTTTTACTTCCATTCGAGAATATTTTACCCAAATAGACGTCAAATTGACAACATATACTGGTTTCCGGTGAAAGGCTCCAAATTTAGAATACAATAAATATTAATATTATAAAAAAAGCGTTTTATTTTCTATCAAAAATATTGCAATATTTATCGCAATTCAGTTAGAAATTTCGCAATATGTCGCCATACGAAAATCATAGTCAATTCTCTTAAGATTTGTAATACTATTGATAGACGTCGCTGCAGTCAACCCGTATGAATACAAAAGAAATTGTTTTTGTTCTCAAACTTTCTGTACTGTTATAATACAGACTCCACTCCACGACTCCACAAGACTCCACTCCACCCCACTCAGCTTTTTACCCCAAGCTGCCCGGGGCCGTAGAATATGGAATGCAATTTGTCTAACGGCAACGTGTTGACTCATGACCCCTGAAGTTAGGAGGATGGCAGATTACTTGATGTACTAAAATATAAAAAAAATCTTGAAGCAATTCAGTGAAATGGGGTGTATTTTGATATTGAAACAAAAATATTCTGTTATAATTTTATAAATGAATAACAATATTAGTTGCTATTTAAAAACACCATAAAATACATACGGCCTTATGCGTCTCCGGGGCACGGAGAGGATAAGTAAGTATAAAATACATGCTATTTCAAAACACTAGAAAAAGATAAAATCAAACAGATAAAAATTCTTTTAAAAATGATCTTAGCAATTCAAATTTTGAAATGGTAATTTCAATTTTCAGTATTTTATCACACCTTATTCGTATACTCTCTAAATGTTAGGAGAGTAAGTACTTATCCAAGTAGAATGTACAGAATTAATTCACAATAAATGGGATGTATATATTTTATAATATGTTAATAACATGTCTTTATATTAGAAATGCTTTAGCCTACCTACAAAGCTTTATGATAATCGTGATGACTTCAACTTGTCAATCATTAACTTCCCTTACTTATACACAACCCTTATCACCTTCATATCGGGTTTATATCTCTCCATTGGTTCGCTACGCAAGATCATGCTGATTACTCTACAAAAGAACAATTTCTAAAACCAGACAAGTTGTTGACAAACAAGTTGATGAATCAAGAATATCACCAGTCTCATTAAAAGTCATCTTTTCGAAAATTCTATGATCGATACAAATTACTTGTCAGCAAATACAATCTGTCCTTAAGTCTAATGCTGGCTGACGTTTTCATGCTTATCCTAAGGCTATTATTTGCACCTTAATTGTCTGTGGATTTTTTTCCCATTTATCCCGTCTGTAAGGTATGCTCATACCTGCGTTCAAATTCTGATTTTAAGTTCCGTGTTTGCTCAAATTGCTTGAACTCTAGTAAATGTGTTAATAAAAGGGATAATGTATGAAACAACTGTGTTTTATTTCATAATTATACATTTACATGTATTTTATTTGTCTAAATGTCCATCCATTTCGATAACTTGCACTCGGGTTCATAATTTATCCTGTGCATATACAATTAAAACATGAAAAAAGACATGACAAAGAGTTCATTTTAGAATAAAATTCTTAAAATAATATATTTCTTACAATATCTAACTAATTTCTAGGTCTCTAATTTGTGTTCCCATCACTTTGAAATGTAGTAGTCTTCGTGTCTTTCAAGACACGTACGTGTAATTAACCGACCCATCAATAAAACATAAAGTCCACAATTTCAACGATTTCAATCTACATTCAGTAGAGACTTGATGTTATATTTGTGTTGCTTTTACAGACGTTTGCGTGTTTAAAGGTTAGATCTAACCTCCTACTGTGGCCATATCCTAGCCTTTGGAGCCTTAGGTCAATGGTAGTGCATTTCATATAGTCTAGACTACATGGAAATGCATGTACACTCTTATGACTAACGAAATTCCTCTTGTTTGATTGGTTTGAAAAGATTTTACTCATATTTTTAATTACAAAGGGATTGGAAACAAGTTCGAAAAACGCCCTCACCCAACTTTATCAAATTAGGTCATATATAGATATGATCAAGATAGTATTTCTATCTTATGTCCCTGCTGTGGCTTCGCTTTAAAGGTCATTATTTTGAATTGACCCTGACTGGGAGGTTTCCTATTCTGTTTCTATTTATGAAATGTTTTCTTTTTCATAGTGCATGTGTTCACATTTCCTTGTAAAAAAATTATTCATTATTTTCTTGTTTGTCCCAAAATTGATTTGAACTAGCTAAAATATATACTCTGTATATTTAATTGAACCTCTAGCTCAGGTTAGTAGAAAAATTTAAACTAGTGTGAGCTTCTAAATTCGCGCCAGAAATAAAACCAAGATGAAAAATCATATTCGCGGAAAATTACAAACTGACAAACATTATAAAAGAGCTGAAAAAGGAAAAGGGGGATGGGGTCTACTTGGCTAATGGGATTGAGTTTACGTATAACTCAAAAACAAAACGACCAAAAATTAGAAAAACTTCCTGAAAAAATCAAAGTACTCAGAAGTACAGAGAGCCGGGCTCATTTACAGAGTAGAATGGATTTCTTACATGAATCACGTTTATATTCTGATGAAAAAAT